CAAAATTTTCACAATTTTTCACAAAAAGACTACATTCATGCATTTTCAAAAATTTTCACAATTTTTCACAAAAGACACAATAATTTTTCAAAATTTTCACAATTTTCACAAAAGACTATAATTCACGATTTTCAAAATTTTCACAAATTTTTACAAAAAGACTATAATTCACGCATTTTCACAATTTTTCACAAATTTTCAGAAAAAGACTGTAATTCACACGTTTTCAAAAATTTTCACAAATTTTTACAAAGACTATAATTCACGATTTTCAAATTTTCACAATTTTTCACAAAGACTATAATTCACGATTTTCAAAAATTTTCACAATTTTTCACAAAGACTTAATTCACCATTTTCAAAATTTTACAATTTTTCACAAAAGACTATAATTCACGATTTTCACAAATTTTCACAATTTTTCACAAAAAGACTATAATTCATGCATTTTCAAAATTTTACAATTTTCACAAAGAATACTAATTCATGTTTTCAAAAATTTTCACAATTTTCTAAAAAGACTATAATTCACGATTTTCAAAATTTTCACAATTTTCACAAAAGACTATAATTCACATTTTCACAAATTTTCACAATTTTTCACAAAAGACTATAATTCCCACATTTTCAAAAATTTTCACAATTTTTCACAAAAGACTATAATTCACATTTTCATAAATTTTCACTTAAAAAGACTATAATTCACTTTTCAAAAATTTTCACAATTTTTCACAAAAAGACTATAATTCACGATTTTCACAATTTTCAATTTTTACAAAGACTATAATTCACATTTTCAAAATTTTCACAATTTTTCACAAAAAGACTATAATTCAAGCATTTTCAAAAATTTTCACAATTTTTTACAAAAAGACTATAATTAACGCATTTTCAAAAATTTTCACAATTTTTCACAAAAAGACTATAATTCACGCATTTTCAAAAATTTTTACAATTTTTCACAAAAAGACTATAATTCACCAATTTTCACAAATTTTCACAACTTTTTACAATTTTTCACAAAAAGACTATAATTCACGCATTTTCAAAAATTTTCACAATTTTCAGAAAAAGAGTATAATTCACGCATTTCAAAATTTTCACAATTTTTACAAAAACTATAATTCATGATTTTCACAATTTTCACAATTTTTCACAAAGACTATAATTCATGCATTTTCAAAAATTTTACATTTTTCACAAAAGACACACCACACGTGCTTTGAAAATTTTCACAATTTTACAAAAAGACTATAATTCACCAATTTTCAAAAATTTTCACAATTTTTCACAAAAAGACTATAATTCAGCATTTTCAAAAATTTCACAATTTTCACAAAAGACTATAATGATTTTCAAAATTTCACAATTTTTCACAAAAAGACTATAATTCACGATTTTCACAAATTTTCACAATTTTTCACAAAAAGACTATAATTCACGATTTTCAAAAATTTTCACAATTTTCACAAAAAGACTATAATTCACGCATTTTCAAAAATTTTCACAATTTTTCACAAAAAGACTATAATTCACGCATTTTCAAAAATTTTCACAATTTTTCAAAAAAAGACTATAATTCACGCATTTTCAAAAATTTTCACAATTTTCCAGAAAAAGACTATAATTCATGCATTTTCAAAAATTTTCACAATTTTCACAAAAGACTATAATTCATGCATTTTCAAAATTCTCACAATTTTTCACACAAAAGACTATAATTCACGATTTTCAAAAAAATTTTCATTTTTCAAAAGACTATAATTCACGATTTTCAAAAATTTTACAATTTTTCACAAAAGAGATTCACCACTACAATTTTCAAAATTTTCACAATTTTTCACAAAAATATAATTCACGCATTTTCAAAAATTTCACAATTTTTCACAAAAAGACTATAATTCACATGATTTTTCAAAATTTTCAATTTTTCACAAAGACTATAATTCACGCATTTTCACAAATTTTCAATTTTTCACAAAGACTATAATTCACGATTTTCAAAATTTAACAATTTTTTACAAAGACTATAATTCACGCATTTTTAAAAATTTTCACAATTTTTCACAAAGACTATAATTCACGCATTTTCAAAATTTTCACAATTTCATTAAAAGACTATAATTCACGATTTTCAAAT